AACTGAGCATTAAGACCTGCAGTGTGAACGTAGCCTTAGCTACTACTATGTTTTAGGTTGGTCCACTATTGTGTTCATTTCCCAAAAAAAATAACTGCACAAGTTTGGTTTGTGACAGCTAAAAAAGAAGGCACCAGTTCTGTTTTATGAGAGCAACTAATAAAATTTATTTATTTATATATATATTTTTTTTATTTTGACAGAGTAAGATGTTAAAACGACAAACTATCAATTGTATTCTTTTACACAGTTTGAAGCACAGAACTGCTAACTCTGTAGACTTTAAAGACTGACAAATAGCAGGACTATTAGGCTGGCGGGTTACTTGCTGTCTTTAGTGAGATTTTACAGATATCTAAACAGCTATTATTCCCACGGAGCTTTTCTCTGAGCTCTGTAATTATCTAACAAATGTCATGTTTAGTTAAATGGTTTTAACATGTCTCTTTCACATTGTGTCCCTGCTCCTGATTGGCTCAGTCTCTCAGTCACGCACGCTGAATGTTTACGTGCTCGGTTTCTTCCTGCAGATCCTCACATCAAGGTGTGTGGGAAGAGGGACAGCGTCCGCGAGGCTAAAGACAGAATCATGTCCGTCCTTGACACAAAGGTACAGGAAACATCTTTATTACAGTTAATATGTGCTTTATTGTCCTCTCCTTGATTATGTTTTTTTATCCTAACCCTTGGATTTAATCATTTGGATCAAACACTTGGGTATTTATTCAATGAATGTTTGTCTCAGTGAGTGATTGTACACACCGACGTGGTACCACTTGCTTCTAGTTTAGCAAGATACTCTCATCTTAAGTTCAGTGTAGAGTCAWGTGTAGTAGCTTTGTTTCCATAGCAGCCCAAGCTCTCACATACCTGGTGTGCACAGCAGTGCCTCTTGGGGGCAGAAAATTATCCATGCACTTCGAGCAGCTACACAAGAGGCACGCTGCACAATTTGTTGTTGTTGTTTGTTTTTTTACACAATTTCATATGGTTTAGTCACAAAGAAAGGCCACCCACTCAGACTTTACTGAAGGGTTAAAAATTCAAACATATGAGAAGAAAACAAAATGTGCCATGGAATTCAAAATGTTTGCATGTGTTTCTTGTTTTGAAGTCATTCCAAAAAAAAAAAGGTGAAACAATAAATGTAGGGCTGCATTCACACTGCAGGAGCAAATGCTTCAGGAGCATCCCGATCAGAGGCAGGTTCAGATATAAACTCTGAACTAAACGAGCATGTTGGATAATTTTTTTAATCGGTTCTGATTAAACAACTTCAGATTTGACATGCTAAAAGTAGCATCCATGCTAACTCTATAAACAAACAACCGGCTGAATGAGACGTCACGTCTTTTACTGCGCATGTGGGTCACATCATTGTCGTGTAGCATTCACTCTGGAGTCTGATGCAGGTCGCATTTCAAATTTAATGTGAACGGTCACGGCAAATGATCAGATTTTTTTTAAGTCAGAATTGAGCGTTATGACCTGCAGTGTGAACGTAGCCTATGCCTCTTTTGTTAGTTTTGTAATTTTCTGATTCACCAATTTATGTGAGATGTTTCACATAACTTCCTAACATAAAACTTGACAATTGTGATGCTTCTCAGGTAGTAGTAGTAGTAGTAGTAGTAGTAGTAGTAGTAGTATTAGTAGTAGAGTAACCAAGTACAAATAATTTTTTACTGTACTTAAGTAGAATTTTTGGGTATCTGTACTTTACTTGAATAATTATTTTTCAGCCTACTTTTTACTTCTACTTCTTACATTTTCACACAATTATCTGTACTTTCTACTCCTTACATTTTTAAAAAAGTCAAGAAGTAGAAAGTCGTTACTTTTATTTCATTGTTACTTGTTTTCATTCCAGCTTGTTATTGTAAAAAATAAATAATATCCATAGAAACTGTGCCTCCTAGATTGAGTGAATTTAATTGTATATATAAACTAAAACAGCTAGACTAGTGCATCCTAAATTTAACATAAATCATTTATTTTAATACAACAGTCATTTCTACATTTTTTTGGGGAGGCCAACTCCCATAAATGTCATTACAGAAAATCTAACTGCTCATTTTAAATCAATACTTTTACTTTTAATACTTGAGTACAAAAAAAATATCAGATACTTTAAGACTTTTACTCAAGTAATATTCTTAAGAAGACTTTAACTTTTGCAAAAGTAATTTTTTGGTAAGATACTTGTACTTTTACAAGTATCACTTTGTGGTACTTTATACAACACTGAGTAGTAGTAGTAGTAGTAGCAGTAGCAGTAGTAGTAGTAGTAGTAGTAGGAGGAGGTCGTCTTTGCAGACTGCTTAGAAACATTTTGGCTCCGAAACAAATATTTTGGTATATCCTGATTTGTATTCTAACAAATGAGGTGAATGAAATCTGCTTTTGTTACTTGGTCATAAAGCATTTCCTCCACGGTGCTTCACAGTTTACAGCACACACTTGTCTGTTTCTGCTCATTAGAGTAACAGGGTGACTCTGAAGATGGACGTCTCCCACACAGAGCACTCCCACGTTATTGGCAAAGGGGGCAACAACATCAAGAGGGTGATGGAGGAGACGGGGTGCCACATTCATTTTCCAGACTCTAACAGGAACAACCAGGCAGAGAAAAGCAACCAGGTTTGAGCTGTTTTTTATTTATTTTACTCTTCTGAGCACTGTGCAGTAGTGTTATGTTTCTGCCTTGATTGTCTCCAATCTTCATCACYCTACAATTGATTTTTGTTTTCTGCAGAGGGTTGTTAAGGTTGGTTTGTGTTTGCCACTTTCCAGCCCATGTGTGAGCTGTCACGGTGTTTCAGGCTGCACAGGCGCTGGTCTAATTTGATGTTTTTGCTGGCTGGTCTTGAAGATCAATGAGACCCTGCTGTAACTGCCATCAAAGTGCGTCCATGAAGATTTCAGAGACGCACGCCGTCTCTGCAGGGACTTAGATGTGCGTCTTTGCCAGCTGCTCTCCGAGGCCTAGTCGAGTAAACGTGCTAAAAATTTCATCGACTTTTAAAGGTTCTAAAAAGGTCGACCTTATCTCTGACTGCACTTTGAATATTTTGCACTATTAAACTTATCTAGATGTTGTATTTCGCGGGCTGCTCGGTCCCCTCCGGTTGTACTGTGATGATGCAATTGCTGGCTGATTAGCAGCAAGAGACTCCTTAAAGGCGCTCTCTTTATTTTTCTCTGGTTTCAAAAGACTTCAGACTGCAGCAGAGCCTTTGAGTCATGCTCCATATTGAGATGTGTAGTTGTGTTGATAAGCGCATAGAAAAGAACTGGTGATGTGAAGGCTAACCCTTCAACTCTGTCTGGCTAGTGGGACTTTTGTTGTGGCACAAAGTAAAGTTTAAAAAGAGTTTTTCAATTTAAAGTGTATGATGGCAGCTTGCTACAATTTGTACTTTTCTGTTTGTAGTGAATTTTTGGAGACAAACCATCCAGGCCAGCTTTATGTTTTTAACAAAAGACTCTCTAAAAGCATTTAAAATTAGTTTTAGCTTAGTAGCACTGTTGATATAGTGCTTGTTCAGTGCCCAGTCCTGAGTAACTTTGAGCGAAATTTAGATACAATGAGGTCAGAGGTTTTTTATTTTTTTCCATTAGAATTAAATCATTCACTGTGAATTCTCATTTTTGCATCTCTGTTAAAACTTCACGTATCTAAATTGAGGATGCATTGTGCAGTTTTGTTGAGACTGTATCTTAGTCCTTATTCATTTTTGACTGGTGCCAGACTTTTGTGATTTACGTGCAGATTTTTATTATCAACAGGTGTCCATCGCAGGGCAGCCAGGAGGGGTGGAGGCAGCTCGTGTAAAAATAAGGGTAAGTTGGAACTTTTCCACTTTGTCAAAAAAAAGTGTACATTTTCAAGTAAAAATAAATTATTGCAGGCATACAGGGATGAGCTTTTCTAACAAGTCAACTTTAATTTCATGGCTTTTAACTTGAAAGAGCAGGTATTTCACGGGTACAGTAACAATTGAACTAATGAAAATGAACTGAAATATATTACAGGTTGCAATAAAATTAACTAGAACCTCTTTTACTGTAAATAACAGAACAGAACATCTTTACAGTGTAATAATTTTAAGTGTAATCTTTAGGTTTTTTTTTCACTGCGACAATATTCAACATTGTCATCGGGATGTTTTCAAAATGTTCCTCTCTGTTCATGTTTTTGAACACATTTTGCACAAAGAATAAAGGTTTCTTGAGCAAAAATTACATAATTAATCCTCACTTCTTTCCCTGTCAAAAACCTGACCATTATGCTAGCAGTGTCAAAGCATCTTTTTTTTTCCATTCTGTCATGCCATGCCCCCCCCG